TCATGGCACCAAGTCTTAATCTGACAGGGGAAGAGAAACTAGAGACCATGTTCATCCCAGTCATCTCTGTTCAGTGAGTTAAAGGCTGGTTCATGCTATGGCCACATTAACAAGAGACTTACCTCAGCTAATTGAAATAAGACAGCACTGCTTAAGTTTTATTAGTTTCACAAAAGAAAAGGAGCAAATATAACTTTTAGAGATCTCTGATCACATTTTTTTTGTTTGTTTTTTTTTTGTTACCGATCATTAATGATCCATATTGGTTGATACACATCCTTGTTTAATTATAGTGGCTGGTCTACAAGGCTCCAGGGTTTTCTTTTTACACAGTCCCAAAAATCATCTCAATTGTTCTCAGTGATAATCACCAACATTGTCCTTTTGATGTGTAATAAATCCACGGTTCATTATTAGTTATACCCGATAGACGAGTTAAATGTTTTAAATGTCTGTTGCACTGTTTGCTGCATTTCATCAGACTTTGTAACTAGTCTGCACTTGAAACTGCTTGTGAAGCATCCTGTTGAAGGCAATACTTTAATACTGCAATGCATAGTTAATGCCATGAAAACCAACTTTCCGTCCGCTCAGTGTTTAAAATATAGAAGGTTATGACATAATGATTAAAGATATTCGCCTTTCACCCACAGTGAGCAATGATGCCCTGCGTGGTGCCACTCCCCAGGCCGCTGCGCAGGTGCTGCAGTGGGTGAGCTTCGCTGACTCGGAGATCATCCCACCAGCCAGCGCATGGGTCTTCCCCACTCTGGGAATCATGCAGTTCAACAAGCAGGTTTGCAACTCAGCATTTTCTAGTTAAGCTAAAGACTTTAATTATGATTTGTTAGCTGTGGTGGGAGGATGGTAACTATTTTATTTGGCCAGAGTGGCGTGTGCTGTAGTTGAGACTTGGCACTTGACCGTGTCGTAGATTTTATATGTTTTGTAATTTTGCATAATCATTCTTCTGTCTGGGTCTGTCCAGGCCACAGAGCAGGCCAAGGAGGACGTGAAGAGGGCCCTTACAGTGCTGAACCAGCACCTGAACACCCGTACCTTCCTGGTGGGGGAGAGGGTCAGCCTGGCTGACATCACTCTGGCAAGCTCCATGGTCTGGCTCTACAAACAGGTTTGGCATACACACAGCACATAACCGGTACACACTGTTAATAATAAATATTATTTTGTTGCAGCACTTCTAATGAATGAGTTAGAATTCTCTCCAGTAGCACCTAACACACCTCTGTCCCCTATAGGTCCTCGAGCCTTCTTTCCGCCAGCCTTACCCCAACGTGACTCGCTGGTTCGTCACCTGTGTCAACCAGCCCCAATTCAAGACTGTCCTTGGAGAGGTCAAGCTGTGTGACAAGATGGCTCAGTTTGATGGTGAGTAGTCGGCAGTGAGATCAGAAGATGCGCGTTGCTGGCTGCTGGAGCACACAGTGTAATTTAAGAGATAAAAATTTGACATGCACTTGCCTTCGACTGATACTTTTAATTTTTCAGCTGAAATGTCAACAAAGATGTGTAACTACATCTTATGGAAGGGCTGCATTCTGTTTACATGTCTTGTTAAATCTGCAGATAAAGATAAATGGTTGTGGTTAAAGGATTGCACCAAAATAACTGGATGGCATTTGACAAATGGCTATCTACTTATTATTTTTAAAGTGTTACAATAATGTAAATGATCTCCTGAATCACTTTCAGTGACAGAAAAGTCTCTTTTTAATCAAAAAGCCGATGTCTTGCCGTATTTCACAATTCATCTCCAAAGACCTAGAAACAAAGCTCAACTCTTTGGAGGAAACTGATGATCCCCAGTCTTTGGGCAAGGCGGTGTCCAGTCATGGCACCAAGTCTTAATCTGACAGGGGAAGAGAAACTAGAGACCATGTTCATCCCAGTCATCTCTGTTCAGTGAGTTAAAGGCTGGTTCATGCTATGGCCACA